ATAAGAGGACAGATGGATGGGCGACTCCAGAGAAGTCCCAGGGTCAAAGCATGGGTAAGGCCAGAGCTCTGAGAGCCGGAATCTAGCCGGAGTCCTGGGAGAGTGAGGCGAAGATCCAGAGCCCCAGGACAAAGGTGACTGGACCCTTGCGCCTTTCAACCCTGCCCAGGGGCACCGCAGGGAACACCGGCCTGTGGCACAGCAAACTTTGCTGAGATGCCAAGGCGGGGGATTTGGTGGTTGGGGGCTGGGCTGCAGTCTTCTCCCTGGGAACCTGGCTCTCCTCCACCTGCCAGTGCTCTGCCTCCGCCCAGCGGTGGCCCACCGCAGCCCCCCGCCCCCGAGCTGCGCGCCTCCATTCACTTCCACGCCACTTCTCTCTCCTCTCCTCTCCCCTCCTCTTTCTCCCTCTTGCCTTTCTCCCCCACTTTTTTTGCTGTCTCTTCTTTTGTATTCTTCTCGCCTCCCTCGCCGCCCCTTTGCCTCTCTCCTCCTCCGGCCCCGCAGGGGAGGAGGTGAGCGCGCTCGCCAGAGGCCTGAGCAGCGCAAAGGGAGGCGTTCCTCCTACTTCTCCCGGGGCATTTGGAGAGATTGTAAGCGTGTGCGCGCTCGCGTGCGCCTGAGGCGAAACGGGGTAGGTAGGATTCACCGCCGAGCGGAGGGTCAGGGTCTTGGACGTTCCTCACCAGCTACCCAAGCTCCAAGCCTCCCCGCGTGAGTGTGAGTATAGTTTAGAGTGCGGGCTGGCTGCACTGGGCGCGCTTGGCAAGCTTGGTGGCCCAGGGCCCGGGCCCCGGGGTCCTGCCTGGAGACCCAGGATTACCATGACGTCACCTTGAGCCACTGGCCGCCCTGGACCTGGACACCTCGGGAGCCGCACAGGCCTGCAGCTCGCCGCGCCGACGCGCATCTTTGGGAACCGGCATCCTTTCCCTTCCTCTGCCCACCCATGGGCCCCTCTGCCTTCCCGACCCCGCGGGCCAGAGGGGCGCCTTCCGGAGCACAGGGCTTGGCAGCCTGGCTGCCCGCGGCTGAGCCTCCAGCCGCGCCAAGCAGGCAGATCAGCGCGGGGTACCAACGGCAGAGTAAGGAACCCAGACGCTGCACTGCTGGGCACCTCGAGGGGCAGAGGGAGGCGGGCCAGTGACTGCCACCATGTCCTTCCCACATTTCGGACACCCGTACAGCGGCACTTCCCAGGTAAGAGCCGCTTCCATGTGGGGGGTGGGGGTAGACTTAAATTGGGTGAAAGGGGTGCCCAGTATGCGCACCTGCTCTGAGCGTCCCAGAACACGTGTTTCCGGGCACTTAGAAGGAGCAGGGACCACCGTCCCCTCTGATACCTCCAAGCCCTGACTGAGAACGTTCCACTCCTAGTGCGTGCCGGATCATGGGCGCCCTGTGCTGCCCGGCGTCTAGGGAGGCAGACAGCCGTTCAATGATCTTGCAGGCAGGTCCCTTTTGGTACAGGTGTCCGGGGAGTCCACAGAAAACTTCCAGTTCAGAAAGCTCTCCGTCCTGCCATTTGTTATCACCTTTTGGCCTCTGCCCTGTGTCCCCCCCTTTCCATGCCCAGACCAAGCAAGCGCTCTGCCTCGCGGGGTGGCCTCCATGTTCAAAACCAGGGTGTCATCGCCCGACCCTGTTCTTCAGTCTCTCTCCAAGGTAGAGGTATGTGTTCACGGGATCTGGTCACAGCGCGACCTCTGACTTGCTGTGTGGTTGGGGACCAGTCCAGTACACTCTCTGGTCTGGGATTCTCTATCGATAAAACTGGAGTTGGCATGCAAGGCCAACTCCCAGCTCTGTCTTCTAGGAACCTGGGGTTCAGAAACTGCCTGGGAGGGGTGAGGTTTGGAATCTCGAATTCATTCGGGTTTTACAACCTCCTCAACATCCCATCAGGGACTCCGGAACCTTAGTCGCTCTTTAAAGGAGTCTAGAAGGGCAATTGGGATCAAGTGTGCCTTCCTGCCTAAGTGACCAGCCGAATGCCCAGCGCATCCTGACAGGTCCTGCGGAAGCAAAGGGCGATTCAGCAGTTCCGTCCCCGCCGCTGGTTCGGGACAGCCCTAGGCGCGGGTCTCTGAGCTCCGCGGTTCCATCTCTTACTCTCTAGTTCCTGGTGTCCGCCGGTCCCAGCGCCACTTGCTGCGAGTCC